CGTTGAAATGAAATATGTAGTGTGATTATATTAAATTCTTAAGAATTTGTTATCTGATTTCAATAGTTTTTATTTTCATTTTAATTTTGAATTTGTATGTATTGTGTAATAAAAATAACTATAAACCTGAAGATACTTATTTTTTCTTATATACCACTAGATTCAGAATAGTTTTGTTCATATATATGTATATATTATAAGCTCATTAATAATATTTGTATGACTGTGAATGCATTGCACTGGACATCTGCCAACTCCCACACATTAAAATATCTTAAAATATTCAATATCACGGCGTTTGTGTTTCATGATTTAATTTAAAATATAAATTATGTTATAATTGCATTTATGTCATTAATAAATAGCAATTCATTTTGTTCTTGTCAAAGACGAGTTCATATTCGTAAAAGTAATTAATAATTTTTAATAAATTAATGTCGAATATGGTCAGAGAATAAAAATATTAAAATAATATAACATTAAATAAATTGAGATAAAACGAATAACAGATGAAAATTAAATTCCGACTAAATTGTGAATGATAAATTACACAAATAATATAATAGTATAAGGTAATCATCAAAGGAATACGTTAAACTGGAAACAATATTATTTGCCGGAGATGAAAAAGAATTAGGTTGAAAAAATATTTCTTAAGAGATTTGAGGATAAATCCAACGGGAACTGATGTAAAACGGTTCCAGGGAAAATGGAAAATGGGAACCTCCCGAGGGAACATAAATTTAAATAAGCATTATATGTAGGCACTGTCGGAGCCAGCTCAGCTATGTGATCTAGGTCTCATTTATAACATATATTTGTTTCAATACCTTATATGATATTAGTTATTATGGTTCAAAATAAAAATCTTATGAGATATATGTATAGTGATATATAGTCTGTTTGTTTATAATTCAGTAATGATTAGACAGAAACCACCCTCGAATAAGACCTTGGAGTAAAACTTGTAAGCTCCAGTCATTGTAAGTGGCAAAACATTGTATAAATACCCTTTGTCTATACAAAAAGGATAAGTCAGAGATTCAAAGTTGACTATTTTTCAACATTTGATCAATATTTATATAAATTACTAGTTTTTGCTTTCGACTTCGTCTGCGTTAGTTTTAGAATCATAAAAGTATAGTTGACCTGGCGATCTTTATCGCTCCTTAAAGACAGTAACTAAGATGATTTTGTATTTGATCAACTTATACTTATACTTTTTCAATCAAATGAAAAGTAAGTACCTATCCTATGTACTAAGCAATGTCTCCACCAATTTTCAGCCAAACCCGTCCAGCCGTTCTTGAATTATAAATAGTATAACTTACACGAATTTCTTTTATTTAAATAATTTATATGAGAATAATACTGCGTCATTTGTATATTGTTCTCACGACAGCAACAGTTTAATATTTCGTACATTCCGTAGTCGACGTTTAAGGTTATGAGATCGTGTAAGCCGTTATTTCAACAACGTGTAGCGGGTATTTTATAAGTGCGATGTCAACCTGGCCCGGCCCGGAGCTGGCTGTCTGCCAACCACCTACCATGATCACTGTATTCTTAATAACTTTCTATTATATTAGAAAGGTATATCGACGACAATGACCCCAGAGGTAATGATATTTTTAGGAGACTTTAGATGTTTTCTGTTCATACGATTCATAAATATAGTATTACTAGGTTTTTGCTAGCGACTTTGTCTGCATTAATTTTATACTTAGAAATGTATGGCAGACCGGGCGAACTCTATTGTTCCTTAAAAAGAGTATATAAGAAAATTTTGGATTTGATATTTTTTTTTGTTTTTCAATCGTTTTTCAATTCAACCTGTAAAGCCTTTAGTGAGTTATAAATAGTGCAACTAACATAACTTTCTTTTATCTACACATTATTTATTTATATATATTGAAGTATATCAATGCCAGTAGTAGGGGTACTATAATAATTCTCGGTACATTTCCCGCAATATATAATATGAGTGTTTTCAGTTTCCGCGGGACATTTATCCGCAGTGACACCAGCGAGTGTCTGACACTTTAATACACGAACGTTTGGACACTGATAATATATTAATTGACAGATATATTGCTGTGGTTTGTTTGTTGGAAGAATTTACAAGAACTTTTAATAAAATTATTGTTTCCTTTATTCGTTTGATATAATGAGTCTAATAATTTCGCAGTCTTATTCATTTAAATGAAACTTATATTTTTCATGATCATATCAATATTTTCAGTCTCTATATAAATAAAAGTCTAAAGCATCTACATACTGGAAGAAACCTTGTAATAGGTACTATTTTTATTATTATACTTAGTGCTTTGTTCCCATTATTAATGAAGCTATCTAATTAACTACACGACCTGGAATAAAATATAACAAAAACAAAACCTTTGAGACAACAAATAATAAACTATATTTCAATGAAATAACAGAAAAACCAAACAAAGTAAAGTACTCGTATCGTAGAAAGCATTGCAAACAATTCGGTACATAAAACCAATAGACTTTTCAGCAATTTGGATATTAGCAAACAGAGACGTCGAGATCATATTTGAGATAAATTGTTCGTGGGGCGTGCTCTGATGTAGACTTCGTTTTAACTGGGTTTATGGAACAAACCAAGAGTTGGAGCTTCATCAGTGACTGTGATTAAAAACAGTGCTTTATTAATAATATGCAAATATAAGTGATATATTTTATATTATTATTACTTTTAATTAATTACATTTCAATGTTAATACGGTATATGTAATAAAACAAAATGTTTAAAAATGTTATCGAACTTTTTGGTCCGATTGATGTCTGAATCGGCGTTAGCGATTTTGATGGTGCTTTCATTGACAGATAGGTAACGAAATAGATTACTTTTCATTAATATAATTTAAAAAAAAAACACTAGGTATACATCGCGGACTAAAACATAGTCTTGGCTATTAAAAAAAATTGTTAGAAATTATTGAAGAGTTCGTCTTATTATTCAATACTCGTATTATATTTGATTCCATTAAAGCAACACAAATGAACTTCAAATTATGTTTTTATTTTCATTGTCTTCTCTTATTAAACACTTTAATATTATCTATAGAGTTCTAGTAATCAATGTATTTCTAGTAGTCTAGTATCAATGCTATCCGCACACAACGCGCGACGTCCCACTTACTATGCCATTGTACAGACTACAGACAGTTCTTATCAATTGTGATTGTGTTATTCTACACAACTAGATTTATATAAAATCTATTTGCATAAAACCTTTTTGGTAATATTCCATTGACGTTAAAGAAAGTCTAGATCATAATTTCTATTAATAAGTACGAAATACTTTTGCGCTTCCTGTATTGTATTAAAATATTTAACCTTACAAAGTAAACAATTAAACTAATAACGGTTATCAAGTAATGTGTATGGATATATGTGTGTGTGTATGTATGTACGTGTGTTTCATTTAACATATAAACTATAATATTCTTTACTGACGGTTACTTTATTATCTTGTCTTAATGGCTCATAAAAGGAACGACGTCGTTTAATTTCGCTTTTTATCAAAGTAACAAAGGAATATGGCTAATGTTATTAAACATAGATATTAGAGTAATTGATAATTGTAATTGGATTAAAACTTGCGCTGTCGGTTAAATAACAACTTTGACGTCTTTACAGCTTTTGTCTTTTTTACTCGAAAATCTTTGGAGTGAAATAAAATATAATCTAAAGATAAATCTCTAATATTTGGATAACAAATTCCATCGGTCTGTATAAGATATTTATTTACCAGGGTTGTCACAATTCATGATTTTATAATCAAGTCGTATAAATTTAGGTAAAAATTTAAAGACTCCTCTCTATAATTCACCATGTATAGGTGATATATATTTTATGTATTAACAACCACTTATCGCTAAGCACTTGAAAGGGGAAAACTACAAGCATATTAACAAACTAGTGACAACCCTACAGTTGACCCTTGACTCCTACAATATTGGTAATGGGATTTACGAAGACTGCAATTCATATTATGGTATAATGTATTACAGTGCATTAGCTTTATTACTGCCATCCCCGAGATTAACCATTGACGTAAAAGATGCTTATGGCTTATAAATTTTTAATTCAATTAACTTTCTTTGAGACGGCCTTTATACTTCAATGGAAATTTGTTATAGAAAGCCGAACGTCCTAAATCCCGTTTCCATCGCTCTTTGTAATTCAACTTTCTGATTTTTACGTGCTATATTTGCCTGAGGCTATCTCTTCAATGGTTTAATCAGCTATCTGAACAATGGTATACAAAAATATAGCCTTTAATCTCTAAATTGTCCCACCAATAGTCTTTGATAAATTCTCCCACCTAACCCTAACGTGCTATACAAATAGTGAGAAGTAGTCTTTAATGGCTGCGTTTTGTCTGCTGAGTGAGAGAGTCAGTTCCTCTTTCCCTTTTCCCACCCTTCTCTACCTTTTCCTTTCCCTCCTTTTCCCACATTTTCCCCAATCAAGGGCGGCAACACATACACAAATCTACATTGCGGATGTCCATGGGCGACGGTACCTCCATTAGGTAAGCCGTCTGCTCGGTTGCCCTCTTTACTATAAAAAAAACTGGTTTCCATTTATTAGTATGACCTACCAAAAAATAAACAAACTTTACTCTACCAACCTTTTATATGAAATAATAAAATAAACGTTTTTATTAACTGATAAAGATTAAGCACCGATTTCTTTTTAATGTATCACATATATCGGAGCGAATAACTTTTATTTACAATCTACTCTACTCTACTCTACTCATCAACTACGAGGTTACCTTCGATACCCTGAAAGTCTGATGACAATTAAGAACAAAGACAATAGTGACGTCACTAATGATGACGTCATAGTTTTTAAACCACGATTTTGATAGTAAATACGACAGACGAATTCAAAGAAATGTCCTTTGCTCTGCTATTAAATTTCATTCTTTTATTGCACACAATAATATAAATATATTTTGTATGGAGTTATTATTGAAGTCCACAACAGTAAATTGGTATGAATGGAAAATATTTTCAGAATAACCTCTAATTTTGTTCAAGCCTTTCAAAGATATGACTACCTATATATGGAGTGAGAATGACAGCGAATTGTTTCTTTAAAGATACCACAGAGTTATTGGAGTCAATATATCAATAACACTCGGTTTATTCTAGTGAATTTTATCATTGCCATGTTTTCAATTGAATTTTTATCGCCTCGTACAGAATACTTGGATACCGCTTTGAGATGTCTCGATCGAATATTGCAAACAAAGCACTTTTCTGAAATGCTTTTTAAATTGAAGAATACTCCACAGTCGACAGTACGTTATAATAGTTGAATGAATATGAATTGTAAATATTATTGGTATTTTACTATCAGACTACATATTAATGGTTCAACAATATAATATATGAGATTTAATTTTTCAATCTTGTTACAGGGGCTTCGGTAAACAAGGATTTCAGTGTCAAGGTGAGTTAATAGTTTAAATAAAATAATATACGTAAGTTATTAAATTAAAATGATATGAAACTTCTTATAAAAAAATGATTACATAAAAGAAAATTAAATCACGTCACTTGAGTGTTTTGTTTTGCAAATTATTTTAATTATTCGAAATTTTAATTCTATACAATTCTTAGTACACACTGAATAATGGAAATGCCTAAAAATAATGTATATTTCGTCAATCAAATAACATTTATTGTAACCAAAAAACATGTTCTACTCATTCTTATTTCCTCACCACAATATTAAAGCCCAGCTCCCTTATGAAATACCTTTCATATCACGGAATGTTTCTCAAAAATCCTCTACAATGTAACGTATGAAATGCAGTTATATGTTTTATAACAGTCCTAGCTGCAAAACTCGTATAATATTTTATATATTATTTGTTCTTTTAGTGTGCAGTTTCGTTGTACACAAAAGATGCCACGAATACGTCACCTTCACTTGCCCGGGAGCCGACAAAGGAGCCGATTCAGACGTAAGAAAAGTTTTATTATACATATATCCCTTAAAATACATATCTTAATTTAATATTAAAAGTTTAATTTTCATAGCGAAAAGCGTTGTAAAATTAGCTTAACCTATATTATTAATTGTGATAAAATGTCAGCCATTTGTAATTAAAATGGCGTCGGTGTAACATCACGTGCCCACTGGCCAGTTTCCATGCGAGGACGAAGTAATTAATAATTTGAATTGCCACTAGTGTTGGCACGAGCGAGCTCACACACTTTGTTTACTTATTTCAATTGTTAATTTTCGTAATGTTTTTGTTGTTTTTTAATTAAAATAACTCCAGGTGAAGATGTAAACTATATATATTGAAAATATATATCATAAGCGTGATTATTTACTTATTTACAATATTTCGATTAATTAAGAGTTTGGATGGATACAATAAACCAGTTATTTCAATGAATTAAGATAAATAAAGGGTGTGGACGCGTTTTATACCTAACTTGTGACAATATTATTGTTAAGTGAATTTAACAACAAAGAGCTATTAAAACATGTTGTGTCATAAACACGAAACACACACGCGACTTCACAAAAATATATTTTATATATATTTGTTTATCTATTAAAATATACTTGTCTATTTAATAAACAAGTCTGTGTTAGCTTTCAATCGCGTAAAGTAATTGCCCTCTTTGATATCTGTTATACAAGTTATGAACGTACTCAGTCTAGGAAAATAATATTGAATGAAACTTTAATCAAAGTAAGAATTAATTTTAGTGTTATCAATATGAAAAATATGATTATTTTAACAAATTATTAATTCTGGTATTGTTCGATATAATTGTATTAAATACCAGAAGATTTTTAAAAAAATATCATAAATAGACTCGTTTTTCTAAATAAATGTCCAATTTTTATTATTTTATGTTTATTATTAGAGTATTTTCAAATAACGATGTTTTGTTACGAACAAAGCTGTCTCTCTGTTAGTATATAAAAAATAGATTCGTTTCAATACTTTTATGATTTCTCTATCACTTATCGTTAAAGCGTATTCAATGTAAATGTTTAGTGAGAATTTAATTAACCTAAATATACTGTGTATTTTTGTAAAACCACATCGTGTAATTGATACGAGCCCCGATACGATCGTAATTAAAATGCAAAAAGGCTTTCACTATGCAGCCGTAGTGGCGGTCTGTAGCTTGAATTTGAATTATCTGTGCATAAAAAAATAAGCTGACCTTATTTTATTATTGAAACCTCTGTGCTCGAATTACACTGTAACGTTGAATGATTAGTGCTTCACACGGAATAGTAAGATTTACACGATATTTTTGACATTAATATAGACTTAAAATTTTCATAATTTTAATAAATTAGTATTCCGCTTTGATAAAATATTCTACGAGCGATAATTTGAAGCAAAATAAAATGATTTAATTTTCCTTGATATATACTTTTCTTTTAATTTATATTTTATGTAAGTATGATTTATAATTACCATTATCATTAAACGCAGTTCATTATTTCTTTACATCGAAAAAAACCATAACGAATTAATCAAATAATCTTTAACTCGATGTATTAATCTACTTAATTACAAGAAAAAAAATAGGACAAGGAAATTATTCTGTGCATAATATTAATTATTATATGAGGACAAAGCATAATATTTTTATCATAATATATGAAACATTATACGTGAAAGCTAATGCAAGTAATGTTATTTGTATCGGAGTGTTGTGTTATGACATAATATAATTTATATAAAAGCGACGCTGGCAGCTCCCGCTGATGTAATTGACTCCGCAATTCATATCATTTAAATATACATTGGCGTTCCACACACATATTAAAATATAATATGTACGTACATATATATTAAAGAAGAGTTTTTTATGGGAAAAGGGGGCAGCCGAGCAGACGGCCTACCCGATGGAGGTAGTACCGTCGTCTATGGACATCTTCAAAATAGATTTGCGGATGTGTTGCCGCTCTTGAATGGGAAAAATGGGAGGAAAAGGTGGGAAAGAAAAGGGTGGGAAAAGGAAAAGGGCAAGGTCGAATTATAAACACCCTATTGCCCATTTCATAAATGTTCCCAACAACTTTTAAAGCTAATATTATCTTATATTCATAAAATTTAACTTTCCGGTCTCGAGTTTATTAAAACCTTGAATATTTCAGTACGTGTAAACCTAAGCCGTCTATATTAAAGTGTTTCACCGGCGCAAATTAAAAGTTCCGCATCTAACTTTGTTTGGAGAACTAGTTAGGGAATGAATCCTAGAGCACCTTCCTGAACCCGCTTCTGCATTATATATTCATGGTAGTCAATATATTTAGTAAGTTTTCATATATATGGATACATAGACTGTTCACAAATTATGAAAGATTTAGATTACTTACATATAGTTTTCTTATTTTTATGATGCGACACATGTAGGTACTGATATCTTTAAATCATACCGATTAATATCACCCTATTGACAGTTCAGCAATTTTTTTATTGCTTATTTGTATGTGTCTTGGCTCGTCTAATTGTCATATATTTCGAAAAAATATCATAGAATCTACGTTAAAATGTATAAATAAAACTATTATGCCCAATCATATTCCGAATTTAGACTGTGGCATTTACTAAAACTGTTAAGATAGAAAAAACATACCATATGTTGTTAAAAGGCCGAGAAGTGAACGAAAAAAGTGTGTGTGGGATCGTGTGGGAGTACTACAAACGAACATATTAAAGTAAAAAAATAACTTAGCCAATTGCTGAATCACAATTGAAAAAGTTCTGAAGACAAAAATACATCGACTGGCTCTTCTTTCGACTTTTTCCAACGATATATTGCTTTAAAATTCGAACCAAAAGTATTCAATTTCAATCACAACATCGTATTAATATTGCTAACACACTGTTGGTCTACCCTCGAGGGTCGAATGTTGCTCCAAAGGGTCGTAACTAACGAATATTGGGTCCTTGATTATAAAATGGAAATGAATGATGAATTATCCAATTATAAGATAAAGTATGAAACAAAATCGAATAATGTGGTCTAGGTTAGGTTTAATGTGAAAACTTGAAGAGATAGGATGCATACTGCGTTCTTGCCACAGAGCAGAACAATCAAAGAGGAGTATTACCAGCAAGTAACGCTCTGATTTGATAAAAAAAAATCTTTTCTGAATATAATATTGTAAAAATTTTTGGCCAAAGTGTTTCCTAGATCAGGACCGTATGCCCAATTATTTTTCCCGTACTTTTAAAACGACTGAGAAACAACGATGCTACTCTATTACTGAGTAAAAAAAACGGTCGAAGCCAGACATATAAAAATATTTTTAAAGGATTTCCAAAATCGTACCCAAAAGGGTATATTCGTCAGAGATTTATTTTTAAAGATAGAACATAAATGTATGGGTAACTAAATAATTTATGAATAAACGTTGAGTTTGCGATATTTTCTGAAGAGTATATATTTTCGTATGCAAGACTAGCTCATGTCGGCCAATTAATGTGTAAATTCGAATTTCTAACTTCATCTTCTGTTTATATAAATTTATATTCATGAAAATATATCACGATGTACTGTGACGTAACTTCTGCACCATTTACTGAGATCTATCCTATAAACTTAATTTATTATAAGAACGTATCTTAAACGTTATTTTACTTCCACAATAAAAACTCTACAAATCTCCGCTCACCCGGACACTTGAGTAATGTTAAACACTTTAAAAAATCCGATACCCGGTAAATTACATCCATTTCAATTAATTTAATGACAAGAAAAATAAGAAAATTCCAACCAAGATATCTCTTTGTGCTCGGAATAAAACGGGGACTAAACGCTTCGCTTTGATTAAGTTATAAAAATATTTATGACATTTTTACTTGAGTTTTATACCGACGAATTGATTTAGGGATCAGTACTATATTGAATTACACCTTGTGGTTATACAGTCGTAGGCGTTGGAACATAACTGCTTGTAAACAGATTATTGGAAGGATTGGTATATGAAAATAATTAATATATTTAGCATCGAATGATACCAAGTATAAAATAACTATATAATTTCCAAGAAAAAGGCCCTAATTTCTATTTCTATTCATCGCCGATCGGAATTCTTTCATCAAGCCAATATCTAACTAGCCCAGGTAGGAATTCGAGTATCATCGAATTTAATCTAGGTTTGAAATTTCAAATACTTAGGGCCTGTCAAATTTTAAAGCACTCTTTATTTGATTCGTCTTCAATAAAAAATAATCTTAATTAAAATAAATGTTAAAATGATATTAAGTTATTCGGATATTACGATTTTTTTATTATTTTATTTCTACATGTTCCTGAAGTTTCGATTACTTTTCAGCAACCGTCATCACGGACAGACGAAATCAAAGTCAATATGTAGAAATAAATAACAAAATACTTTATTATCCGATAAGCTCAATTTCTTTTAAATATGTACACACGTACTTCGATATCATTATAAATGTTTAAATTATTACAATCTTGATATTTTATGTACTTAAATTACGTCGTATTAATATTGCTTGTACACAAAATTAATTGAGCGCGTTCCCTTTATCAACTTCATCGTGACAACACAAACATGGAAACAGACCGAGAAAACATCTCCGTTAAATATACGACACACCATAATTTACTTTGACAAATGTTCACGAGTCGAGCTTGCCGACTTCGAATGAAGCTATTAAAGACATTACATCGACTATTTATCTGTATTTAATATTTTAAACTCGTTATGAATATTTTAATACTTTCTGATCGATCACAACGCCTACGTAGTTAATGTACAATGATTAATGAATGCTAGGAAAGTTTTCGTGCACTTTACGTAATCGTAAAATATTTCTATAAAGTAATTATAATTACCATTGGTTTTAACTTCGTTATTTGACTCAGACTTCGATTTCTAATAATGATAGAAGTAGCTCAAGGTTTTGAAAAAATATATATTATTTTTGTGTGAGAATTGATGGTAATTTCGGACGGCAGGACACGAGAACGCGTCACAATTTCAAAAGTTGTACGTACTCGTCACCAACGTTCTGCGACCACTGCGGCTCCCTACTCTACGGCCTGATCCATCAGGGCCTCAAGTGTCAAGGTACAACGCATCAGGAGCCGCTGTCAACGCATCAGCTCATAAAACGCTTCGCTAACCTAACGCTTCTTAAGATTTATGCTTTCAGCTCGGTGGTGGATTTTGCTAATGTTTTTTTTCTTCTTGTGCTCTTTTAATATCTTCTATCTACTTTTTAACTCTTGTTTTTTTGTTGCTACTTTTAATTCTACATGTTTGATAGATAATAGTTTGTTCATTTCTAATGCTACATGTACTGTGAAGGCCGCTTATGCTCCGCACAAATGGAATGCTTGGACGTTTCTTACTCCAACGTTCTGTGATCATTGTGGTACTATGCTGCACGGTATCGCACATCAGGGATTTAAATGCGGAGGTATACTGATGAATGTAACGAGATAAACATATATCCTCCCAGCATTTAGGAATAATAAGTTGTAATAAGTGTCGAAAAGTTCACAGAGAATCAATCCTTCCGCACTCAAGTAATTAATACAATAAATGGAATTTAAATTAGAAAATCTCACCTGCACGTTGAAGGTTGGGTAATTGGATATTGAACTGTAATAAATCCCGTTAAAATAATCGTTCCAGCGACACGGGGCGATGTTGGCTTTGGCTTATTGTTTCGTTTTTATTTTATAGCTCGTTTTAATCCATCCTATTAAACAAAGTTCCCTTTGAACTACTTAGAGCTTTGCATGCCCGCATTATTGTTTAATTAATTCCCACGCTGCTTGTAATGTTAAGTTGGCTTAGTTATTTGTTTTTTCAACTTTTTTTTTAATAAAATATTCTTATTTTTCTTCTCGTATTTGCAAAATAGGTCAGTGTTGTTGTGTGTTATTTGTTTAAGTATATTTCTTTATTGTCTCTTAGAAATATTTGTAACATTTTCTTCTATAAATGTTTTAACTTATTTGTTATTTTCTATGTATGAAGCATGTAAACTTCGTTGTATTATACACTTCATATTTTCAATAACATATACATTCCTTTCCCCTTTTCAATCTCATTATTCCCCTGTCAATGTACCTAAAGCTCCTAAACGATAAAGGTACTTCATTGTTGCATATATTTTTGTGTAGAAATAACCGCATAACATATTCTATGTTATAATATCGAATTTTATATGAAATAAGATTACTTGTATAACAAAATATAAATATTAAGGCACCCATCATATGTAGTTATCTTTCATCATTGTTCCTTCGATAATTTCTTAAATATAACTTCTTATTGTCACCAATAATAATCCTATTATATTCAGAAATAAATCATCCAAACTTCGCACCTATATATTCAAGATGTAACCAGAACTAACACTCACCTTTGATCATCATAATTTAAATCATTTAATGATGGTTAATGCTAAGTTATCCGTGTCGTGTTGTAGCATGCGACATGAATGTCCACAAACGGTGCGAGGAATCGGTGCCGAATCTGTGCGGGTGCGATCACACGGAGAGAAGAGGACGCATTCAACTGAAGGTGTCCTGTGTTGGAAACAAACTTACCGTTGAAGGTTATTATTGACATCATCAAACGAATCTAGTAACTTTGTAAGGGTTATACCTAGAGAATTCTACGATATTTGCAAGAACTAGCACATACAGTACAGTAGCTTTAAAAAAAATGCATTCTTATTGGATCCTAAATAAAATATGACGATTGCTTTAGTCTAAAAAGATATCAATGGCAGGATTTTTTTTATCAATTTTAAGGAGAGTTTCTTGTTCCTATTCTCAGTGATCCAAGGCCGCAACTTGATCCCGATGGACCCCAACGGTCTCTCTGATCCGTACGTGAAGTTGAAGCTGATCCCTGATTCAGATAACGTGAAGAAAAAAACCAAAACCATCCGCAGCAACCTCAACCCTGAGTGGAATGAGACCATCACCTTCGACCTCAAGCCGGAGGACAAGGACAGGAGGCTTCTCATTGAGGTAATGTGATAAGGGTTGATTTACACAGATATAATGATGATACTTGATGCGGAATGACGAATGAATTGATATCTAGGTACTGAATTTATGGAGGACAATTTGTTAGCATCGAATAAACTTAACCTTTCCGTGAACTCTAAAAAATATGTTATTAATATATGTCTTATATTTACCAGGTTTGGGATTGGGATAGAACCTCCCGTAACGATTTCATGGGTTCCCTCTCGTTTGGTATATCCGAAGTGATGAAGGCTCCAGCAGACGGCTGGTTCAAGCTGCTCACTCAAGAGGAAGGTGACTACTACAACGTGCCAGTGCCTGAGGAAGGAGCTGACTTGGCACAACTCAAGAACCAGATGAAGGCTACTAATTTGCAGGCTCGAAGACCTCCTCCTCCTCCCGATAGAGAGGTCCCACACAATATGGCGGCCGCTGACGTCATACGAGCCTCCGATTTCAATTTCGTTATGGTACTCGGCAAGGGTTCCTTCGGCAAAGTACGTAATTACCGTAATAGAAATCTCAAATATAATGAAAATGTCCCATTTAATCTTTCTTCCATATCCGCAAATGAAATTTTGCTAATTAACCATCAGTTCAATGAGGAAATTATAATATTGAAAAGTCTGAATACGCGAACGCCAATCAGAAACACTTCAAATAAAATTGCGAAACTAAAGCCGTTTCACATTAAATGTAGATGAAAATTTTACAAATCGATTTTAGTGTTAAATGGAAGTCATTGAAATAGCTTTTGCACCGGAGATTAAAATCGTGATTGCTTTTCAAAGTACCCTTAACCTTTTGAATTTTCACGTAAATGTGTGTTTTAGGTGATGCTAGCGGAGCGTCGCGGTACAGACGAGTTGTACGCCATTAAGATATTAAAGAAAGACATTATTATACAAGATGATGACGTCGAATGTACTATGGTGGAGAAAAGGGTGTTGGCTCTCAGCGCTAAACCACCGTTCCTTGTGCAGTTGCATTCCTGTTTCCAAACTATGGTGAGGAAATATAAAACTAAAATTTGTATTGTATAAAGAAGTTTATGAAACAGTACTTAAAAATACATAATTTTAATATTTACATATATTAAAAATATATTAAAGTAGTCTAAGTCACTTCTTATTTCTGGACCTATCTATCAGTGAACATCGTATAAAAAATAGTCCAGCCATTTCAAAGATTATGCGAAACAAACAGATAAAAAGACATAAATTAAAACAAAATGGTAGTTTGATAGGTACTGTACAGTGTTTATACATTTATGTATAGTATAATGCGATTATTTAAATATTACAAAGAGATAGTGTATTTTTATTTATTTGTATAGATTAGAGGCATTCAGAATTGTTGTTCTAGGATCGTCTGTATTTCGTGATGGAGTACGTCAACGGTGGAGATCTCATGTTCCAAATACAACAGTGTGGCAAGTTCAAAGAACCTGTTGCTGTGTAAGTTACGACTAGTTTAGTTTTCATTACGAATACTAATCTAATGTTCCTACTGTAAAAAATATATATAGAGCACCTTTTATTAAGTATACTATCCTGTTAAGAATGTTAAAGATAAAAATGTTAATTATACGTGATTCCAGCATAAATAAAGCTTTATTTTTTTTCATATAAAATGATTCGTATCAAGTATATAATTATTATTAATATTTTACAGCTTCTACGCTGCCGAGATCGCCATCGGTCTATTCTTCTTGCATTCTCGCGGAATAATCTACCGCGATTTGAAGCTCGACAACGTACTCTTAGATCAAGACGGTCATATTAAGATCGCTGATTTCGGCATGTGCAAAGAGGGTATAACAGGCGACAAAACTACGAAGACCTTCTGCGGCACACCAGATTATATAGCACCAGAGATCATTTTATACCAGCCGTATGGGAAGTCAGTGGATTGGTGGGCTTATGGTGTGCTTTTGTATGAGATGCTGGTCGGTCAACCGCCTTTCGATGGTGAAGATGAAGAGGAATTGTTCGCAGCCATCACTGATAATAGTGTCTCCTATCCCAAGACACTCAGCAAGGTATCATAATAATACAAATATTATAAATGCGAAAGTAACTCTGTCTGTTTGTCTGTCTGTTACGCTTTCATGCCTAAACCACTGAACTGAACTGATTTTAATGAAATTAGGTACAGACATAGAGTTGACCTTGAGAAAGAACATAGGATAGGTTTTACCCCAAACTTTTGAAAAGTTCTCTTGGAAACGCGATATAACCGAACTCCACGCGGGCGAAGCTGCGGGCGGAAAGCTAGTACTTAATATTTGTTTGAAAAGTTTGTGCTCACATTTCCCATTGAAGTTTTCAAAATGAAACACTCAGTCAATGATAAGTTTTAAAGGTGTTGTAATGGCAATTGAAGAAAAATTTTCTTTTTTACCATTATTTAACAAGGTGAACATATTGAAAAGAATTCAATTTCGAAGTTTTAGACAGAATATTTTTCTATATTAAAAGACGTCACAAAAGATAATAAAATAGTCTATTGAAATTAGAAACTGACTAAAAACCAAAAGAATGGAATATGTTAAATATTAGAAGACTTAAAAATTTGGACTATTGTCCTCAAATATTTGCTTTTAAAATCAAAAAAATTGCAGCTCAGTGTTGGGCTGTAACATTAAATGTTTATCGTTATATTATCGTTTGTGATACAGGAAGCGAAGGACGCATGCAAGTCGTTCCTGACCAAGAATCCTCAGAAGCGTCTCGGCTGCGGCATGCGTGGTGAGGAGGATGTCCGGACTCACGCGTTCTTTAGACGTATCGACTGGGCTCGTGTTGAAGCCAGGGATGTACAACCTCCGTTCAAGCCAAAGATCGTTAGTATATACCTAGATTGGTACTGGGTACTTCAAATAGAACAAAAAGATCACCATTCCAGAAAATGTTATTAAATTTATTGATATTTTATTTGTATTATACTTTATATTCAAATGTCGTGACGTCTTGGAATCCCTTACCGCTAAAAGAATAGAGATGAATTTTCAACCTCTAGTATTAACTAATGATAAAAAGCAATTGGAAGTTTTCTTAACATTTGAATGAATTATTCGAGTAAAATCCGACAAATATGATTTTATTAAACGTAATCTTATTGCCTACTTATATTTACCGGTAAATCAAAAACGGACGATATTCTTACTTATTATTACGAAGGATTATTTTTTTTAACCTTTAATTGATTAATAATTGATATCCAATACGTATTTTCTGTCCAGAAACACCGCAAGGACGTGTCCAACTTCGACAAGCAGTTCACTCAGGAGAAGACGGAGCTGACTCCGACCGACAAGCTGTTCATGATGAACCTCGACCAGACAGAGTTCATGGGCTTCTCGTTCCTCAACCCGGAGTACGTCCAGCACGTCTGAGACGGTCAGTCATATATGACTACTAGCTGCGCCCCGCGGTGTTACCCGCGGATTTCCGGGATGTAAAGTAGCCTATGTGTTATTCGTGGACGTCAGCTTCCTGTATACAAAATTTTATCAAAATCGGTTCAGCCGTTTGAGCGTGAAGAAGTAACAAACATACACACAACACAACACTCACAAACTTTCGTAATTATAATATTATGACTATATACGACTGTATACGTCTTGATATACGGTATACGACTTGATAGGACTTAAATGAAACTAATATTACTAATATTTCCGGATAACTATGCATATTTTATTATTTAAAAAAACTCACGATTTTCGGTTACTTTAGAGCAACCGTGACCACACATTAGTAAATCCACTGTTAATAAATTAATCAACAGTTAGTAAATCCACTGTTAATAAATTAATCAACTGTTAATAAATTAATCCACTGTTAATGAATTAATCAAACTGTTAGTAAATCCACTGTTAATAAATTAATCAACTGTTAATAAATTAATCAACTGTTAGTAAATCCACTGTTAATAAATTAATCCACTGTTAATAAATTAATCAACTGTTAATAAATTAATCAACTGTTAATAAATTAATCCACTGTTAATGAATTAATCAAACTGTTAGTAAATCCACTGTTAATAAATTAATCAACTGTTAGTAAATCCACTGTTAATAAATTAATCCACTGTTAATAAATGAATCAACTGTTAATAAATTAATCAACTGTTAATAAACTAATCCTCTGTTAATAAATTAATCAACTGTTAGTAAATCCACTGTAAATAAATTAATCAACTGTTAATAAATTAATCCTCTGTTAATAAATTAATCAACTGTTAGTCAATCCACTGTTAATAAATTAATCCACTGTTAATAAATTAATCAACTGTTAGTAAATCCACTGTTAATAAATTAATCAACTGTTAATAAATTAATCCACTGTTAATAAATTAATCAAACTGTTAGTTAATCCACTGTTAATAAATTAATCAACTGTTAATAAATTAATCCACTGTTAATAAATTAATCAACTGTTAGTAAATCCACTGTTAATAAATTAATCCACTGTTAGTAAATCCACTGTTAATAAATTAATCCACTGTTAGTAAATCCACTGTTAATAAATTAATCAACTGTTAATAAATTAATCCTCTGTTAATAAATTAATCAACTGTTAATAAATTAATCAACTGTTAATAAATTAATCCACTGTTAATAAATTAATCAACTGTTAATAAATTAATCAACTGTTAATAAATTAATCCACTGTTAATGAATTAATCAAACTGTTAGTAAATCCACTGTTAATAAATTAGTCAACTGTTAATAAATTAATCAACTGTTAGTAAATCCACTGTTAATAAATTAATCCACTGTTAATAAATTAATCAACTGTTAGTAAATCCACTGTTAATAAATTAATCAACAGTTAGTAAATCCACTGTTAATAAATTAATCAACTGTTAATAAATTAATCCACTGTTAATAAATTAATCAAACTGTTAGTAAATCCACTGTTAATAAATTAATCAACTGTTAATAAATTAATCCACTGTTAATAAATTAATCAACTGTTAGTAAATCCACTGTTAATAAATTAATCCACTGTTAGTAAATCCACTGTTAATAAATTAATCAACTGTTAATAAATTAATCCTCTGTTAATAAATTAATCAACTGTTAATAAATTAATCAACTGTTAATAAATTAATCCACTGTTAATAAATTAATCAACTGTTAATAAATTAATCCACTGTTAATGAATTAATCAAACTGTTAGTAAATCCACTGTTAATAAATTAATCAACTGTTAATAAATTAATCAACTGTTAGTAAATCCACTGTTAATAAATTAATCAACTGTTAATAAATTAATCAACTGTTAATAAACTAATCCTCTGTTAATAAATTAATCAACTGTTAGTAAATCCACTGTAAATAAATTAATCAACTGTTAATAAATTAATCCTCTGTTAATAAATTAATCAACTGTTAGTAAATCCACTGTTAATAAATTAATCCACTGTTAATAAATTAATCAACTGTTAGTAAATCCACTGTTAATAAATTAATCAACTGTTAATAAATTAATCCACTGTTAATAAATTAATCAAACTGTTAGTTAATCCACTGTTAATAAATTAATCAACTGTTAATAAATTAATCAACTGTTAATAAATTAATCAACTGTTAATAAATTAATCCACTGTTAATGAATTAATCAAACTGTTAGTAAATCCACTGTTAATAAATTAGTCAACTGTTAATAAATTAATCAACTGTTAGTAAATCCACTGTTAATAAATTAATCCACTGTTAATAAATTAATCAACTGTTAGTAAATCCACTGTTAATAAATTAATCAACAGTTAGTAAATCCACTGTTAATAAATTAATCAACTGTTAATAAATTAATCCACTGTTAATAAATTAATCAAACTGTTAGTAAATCCACTGTTAATAAATTAATCAACTGTTAATAAATTAATCCACTGTTAATAAATTAATCAACTGTTAGTAAATCCACTGTTAATAAATTAATCCACTGTTAGTAAATCCACTGTTAATAAATTAATCAACTGTTAATAAATTAATCCTCTGTTAATAAATTAATCAACTGTTAATAAATTAATCAACTGTTAATAAATTAATCCACTGTTAATAAATTAATCAACTGTTAATAAATTAATCCACTGTTAATGAATTAATCAAACTGTTAGTAAATCCACTGTTAATAAATTAATCAACTGTTAATAAATTAATCAACTGTTAGTAAATCCACTGTTAATAAATTAATCAACTGTTAATAAATTAATCAACTGTTAATAAACTAATCCTCTGTTAATAAATTAATCAACTGTTAGTAAATCCACTGTAAATAAATTAATCAACTGTTAATAAATTAATCCTCTGTTAATAAATTAATCAACTGTTAGTAAATCCACTGTTAATAAATTAATCAACTGTTAGTAAATCCACTGTTAATAAATTAATCAACTGTTAATAAATTAATCCACTGTTAATAAATTAATCAAACTGTTAGTTAATCCACTGTTAATAAATTAATCAACTGTTAATAAATTAATCCACTGTTAATAAATTAATCAACTGTTAGTAAATCCACTGTTAATAAATTAATCCACTGTTAGTAAATCCACTGTTAATAAATTAATCAACTGTTAATAAATTAATCCTCTGTTAATAAATTAATCAACTGTTAATAAATTAATCAACTGTTAATAAATTAATCCACTGTTAATAAATTAATCAACTGTTAATAAATTAATCAACTGTTAATAAATTAATCCACTGTTAATGAATTAATCAAACTGTTAGTAAATCCACTGTTAATAAATTAGTCAACTGTTAATAAATTAATCAACTGTTAATAAATTAATCCACTGTTAATAAATTAATCCACTGTTAGTAAATCCACTGTTAATAAATTAATCAACTGTTAATAAATTAATCCTCTGTTAATAAATTAATCAACTGTTAATAAATTAATCCACTGTTAATAAATTAATCAACTGTTAATAAATTAATCCACTGTTAATGAATTAATCAAACTGTTAGTAAATCCACTGTTAATAAATTAATCAACTGTTAATAAATTAATCAACTGTTAGTAAATCCACTGTTAATAAATTAATCAACTGTTAATAAATTAATCAACTGTTAATAAACTAATCCTCTGTTAATAAATTAATCAACTGTTAGTAAATCCACTGTAAATAAATTAATCAACTGTTAATAAATTAATCCTCTGTTAATAAATTAATCAACTGTTAATAAATTAATCAACTGTTAGTAAATCCACTGTTAATAAATTAATCAACTGTTAGTAAATCCACTGTTAATAAATTAATCCACTGTTAGTAAATCCACTGTTAATAAATTAATCAACTGTTAATAAATTAATCCACTGTTAATAAATTAATCCACTGTTAGTAAATCCACTGTTAATAAATTAATCAACTGTTAATAAATTAATCCTCTGTTAATAAATTAATCAACTGTTAATAAATTAATCAACTGTTAATAAATTAATCCACTGTTAATAAATTAATCAACTGTTAATAAATTAATCAACTGTTAATAAATTAATCCACTGTTAGTAAATCCACTGTTAATAAATTAATCCACTGTTAGTAAATCCACTGTTAATAAATTAATCAACTGTTAATAAATTAATCAACTGTTAATAAATTAATCCACTGTTAATAAATTATTCAACTGTTAATAAATTAATCAACTGTTAATAAATTAATCCACTGTTAGTAAATCCACTGTTAATAAATTAATCAACTGTTAATAAATTAATCCTCTGTTAATAAATTAATCAACTATTAATAAATTAATCAACTGTTAGTAAATCCACTGTTAATAAATTAATCAACTGTTAATAAATTAATCCTCTGTTAATAAATTAATCAACTGTTAATAAATTAATCAACTGTTAATAAATTAATCCACTGTTAATAAATTAATCAACTGTTAATAAATTAATCAACTGTTAATAAATTAATCCTCTGTTAATAAATTAATCCACTGTTTACTAATAAACTAATTAAAACCTATTCACTTGTTCTTAGAAGTTAGAAAGACAAATGACAATATTTAATAATAATAATAAAATAGCGAAAAAATTATATGAACAGTTTACCGACCAATCAGAGAGCCCCGTTTCATTAGTTAGTTGTCAAATCTAATGTCGAAAAAAAACGTGTGTAATAAAACAACTACTAATAAATTAAAAATTAATGAAAAAACATTGTCCACCGCACAAAATTGTGAATCTAGATTCTAAATGAATAATATAAGTCTTGGATTTAGTTGATAGGACTTTGTCTTCATATATGAAATTTTATCATTAGTATTTCATAAGTAACCGAGTCTTGAGTATTGTTTGAAGGGAGTTTGTGTTATATAATACATAGCACACCTCTTTATATGAAAGTCAACGACGCTTAACACACGTACTCCAG